CCATTTTTTTTTTTTTTTGTCCCCGCGGGCCCTTTTCATCCCGTTTCCCCCCCCCCCCCCCCCCCCCTAAACGAGGAAATCATTTTTTTGGCAAAACAAGAAATTTTCGTTCAGATTTAGTTTTAAAGCATAACTATACGTAAAACAATGTAGATTTCAGTCTACAGAACTCCGAAGTGTGTCCAAAAAACGTTTTCCTTAAAAGCGAGATTTGCAAGTGTCGGATATGATATTTTTAAGTTTCAAACTGTGTAGTTTTATGTTTCAGATTAGTAACACTTATCCTACTACTTTGTCTTGTCCATACAACATGCCTGGACATTCGAAGAAGCGTGGCTTGTAATTGTTATAATATGGAAAGTTGTATTGATTGTTCTATATTGTTAATTTATTTGTTGTAAGTAATTTTTTTATTACATAACTCTTATTTTTATAAAAGAGAGATTCCTAACTCGTTATCATCAAGTATACGTGTCCTAATTTGGGTTCAACAAAAATACGAAATCATTCATACAGTATTTAAATATTTTAGGTCGTCCAATTTTACTTCTTACTTGGAATGTACACTTTTACTACGTCGTGTAAAACTTCTAAAACGTATCGAATTTAATTATAGAAAAATTATCTGATATATCAACAAGATTTCCTCGAATTATTTATTATGGTTTTTTTAGACAAAGGAAAGGTAACGAAATATATTTTCAAATCATTAAGTTCACAAATATCAGATTTGGATAAAAAGCCTTTAGGGAGATAAGAGTATGATACTTTGTTTACTCACAACATCCACACTATTTTTGACAATGCAAAGATTTTCAGGGAAGTGTTTGGTCAGATATTTTCAACAAAATTGAACGAATTCCGACTATTCACGTGCTCTAGTAAAGCTCAAGTATATACCGTAAATTTGTTAACACTAGTTTGAACAGTCAATTGATCTAGGAGATATGTTTTTATTTCTCGGTAACTGAATGTCTGGGTGATGCGTAACATGAGAAGCTGTTAACGTGGAGAACAATGGTCACGAGATCCCGTTACCCCTAGATGGTAATTTATTTTTATCTTTTATCAATCGTCGTCTACTTACCCTTCCTTGCAGCGGCATACCATGACTCTAGCGATCCCTCTTCTTCTCTGAGATTCTTTCACGTCTTGATGCTCTAGCTCATTATTTTCGTGCACACTCAAATTTGCTATCTTCGTAATGGCCAACGCATTATTTTCATGTGTTACTATTGTGTTCATATCTAAGTGTGGCGCGCGTTTTTTCTCAGAGAGTTACCAACGCAGAATCTAGGAATGTTATGAACTCGAACTTACGTTCGAAGTTCGACTTCGAACAGTTCGAGTTCAAAGACGTTCCACTTTGATGTAACGTTAACGCGGATTTAGCAGCACGGTTGCCTAGACTCGGCTTGTAGAACATGCCTGGAACTTTTTTGATACTGCAAGCTTTAAGCGAACATAATTTCTCACCTTCTGCCCCTAGTTTCATGATGCTTAATGAATTAGTACCGCCTCTAGGAATCAGTGTCTCACACAGGCTGCAACCTGCAACAGTGGGTCATTTTCAAAACAATCTGGGTTAGTCTATGTGATCATAATATTTAATCTTTTAAGATATTTTACATCTTTAGTCTATCACTTATAACAGTCTTATATCAAACATTTATTTCTCTCTCATAGACCAGACGTCCACGTTGTGGAAAATCGTCAAGAAGTCTTACAACTCTTTCTTAGGCACTGAATTTCACATCTACGTGATGCAAACTTCATTAATAAAGTATTTTCTCCGGCACTATAAAAAGTTTCAGGGACCCGGACGGGACTAAAAAACCTTGGTCTCGCCTATGTCTAGTCCAGTTTGAGAATTTTTTTCTTCGTTCTTTTAAACACTAGTATACTGTCCTTTTTAACAATTGGGACACATCTTTTGTGTATACATGTTCTTAACACATACATATCAGAACAAAAGAAGTCTATGTTATTCACGCTTTTGTTTACAGCAAACTGTTTTTCAAGGAAAAGTGCGAAAATGAAAGGAAAACATTAATATGTGCAAAACTCGTGTTTAGGAGAGTACATAATAATTGTCTGGTTATCTACTTTGCTTTGTTAAATATTTGATGTCGAACTCGAACGTTGAACTTTGCTCGAACACAAACTTCGAACGTCGAACCTTCGCGTTCGTAACATCCCTAGCGAAACCTGTTACATCTTTTGCCCATGTTTAAATTGTAGAACATATTTATCTCAAAAATAAATCACTTCGCTTTTTAAGGAAAAAAGCTAGCAAGAAAAACCAGAAGCTCCAAGTTCGCTTCCAACAGAAAATGTCACTTTCTTCTCACCAAAACACTCTGCTACGCTTCTGTACTGATTCTCTCTTGTTGAATGAAGTGTCGATAACGAAAAGTAGAATGACAAAAACTGTTAAGGTTTTTCAGTCATAAATACTTTGCTGGCGTGTTGCCGAAAGGGGCTCAGGAGCCTTTTTTACAGCATTGTCAATCACTTAAGTTGTCGGAAAAGTTTTTTTTTATTCTAATTGAGGTCTTTGTTTATTAGTTCTACTCAATTTTAGGACTTGATTGTTTCATGTACGACAGCAACTGGACGGGTTCTCGGAAAGACTCTTGCAAAGTATGAAGACAGATCTCTTTAGAAACTAAAAACTTCAGAGTTGTTGTTTGTGATTTGACTACTTCTGGTACAGACTCGTCTGGTACGAGTAGCCTGACTACCACGGAACCTTGGTAAAGACTGTAAATAGTACTAATGCTCTTGTACACTCTTTTCTTCGGAAAAAACGACTATTCTAGAAAGTCGATCTTCTTCAGCTTTTCTGTAGCACACAGCTTCGTGTCCTAAGAACAGCTGAATGTATGATGGAGAAGAACTTTATTCAGTATTACAAGTAATTCGACTACTGCCATTTTTACTCATCTTTCCCTAAACTCAAAAGACTGATGTTAATTTTCAAAACCGGATGATTTGTATAACTGGGAAATGTTTAAAGTTTCAACGTCTTTTAGTTTTGAACAGTATGATTCCAAACGCTAATAAATGAAAGCCAAACAACAAAACCACTAACATTGTTACGTCAAGACCATACTGATGATATTTAACACCATAAAAATTAATTACGTCATGTCCGTTTTCAAAGCATCTTCCAGTGGGATTGCATGGTATATCAAAAACACCTCTCCATTCTAATATCAACATAACAGAATAACCGTAGTAGTACATGGATAAATATTGAAACCAAGCAATGAACGATGGAATCGATGCAGAATTAATATAGAATCCACTTACGTGGCTAAACATATTTTGTGTTGGCAATATGTATAATAAACCACTTTCCACTGAGTTTGAAACAGCAGCAACCACGGATGCAAGCGCAGTACCCGTCAGTGTTATTAAAATCATAACTCCGCATATCAAAAAGTAGTTTCGCATATTCGACATGAAATATACAATACTCAGAAATATGATAGTTATGACGATAAAGTAGGG